ATTTCTTTGTGCATTATGCTTTTTTACTTCGTATATACTAAGTTTTTAATGAACTCATTTTTTTGTTTCAATGTTGTTCGTATAGGTATCATATATTATATCACATCAAGACCATCAACTTCAAAACTCAATAAAAAGGAAACCAACTTACATATGATCACACCCCCAAACCAGAATGGCGGAAACATTCGGGGGTGGATGACTTCACGTAGTACCATAACAATTGAATATCGTAAAGAAAGTAACACAACCATCATATATATATATATATATATAATAAAAACGTACATTGTTGCGTTATACATGTTTCCAAAAGAATATTACAATAAGATGGTTTAAAATGTTTGATAATAAATGCTATAGCGTTCCTTCTTCAAAAGCTGGTAGTTACCTGTATTACCGATTCCCTGAGAAATACAAGTGGTTTCGAAAAGTGTCAACAATAAAGTTGGTGAGTTCATAAGTGTTTTTGTATTTGAAAAGTATGTCATTTTGGAAGAAAGTAGATGAACGTAGTTTCCAGAAAATCCAATATTTTCCACATATAGTTTGAAAAGTTCCCAAACTTGGAGGGCGTTAGTATCTTTCGTACTTAAATGATAAAGATAAATTTTGTGCTCAAAATAAAGTAAATATTGAATGCATATATGAGTCTCGTAAATCAAGTTTGTTTTTATACTTTCGTGTGACTTTTATAACCATACTATTAACACAGACTGTCTGTCAGTACATTCTTCAGGTGTTGTAGTGTTATAACATTTGTCACCCCAGACCTGCCGGTCTAACTGTAGCTAACAATTTAGGTGCGGGGTTGTCAATCCCGTATAGATCCATACACAAGTATCACACTCTTCTTCTAAGAGATTATGGTTTATAATACAGGACTTGAAATGCATACTAGAAAGTACATTGAAGTTGAATATCTCACATCACTTAGTATAAACATATTCACGATAAGAAAGTCTTTGTTTTACTTTAGGTGAAAGTATTTTGTTTTTCAATATGTATATGTAAGAATGTATGAATAACTCGCAAACTATACCCATTATAGTTTTTCAAAAAGTATGTTCCATTTGGTGAAAATAACTTGGTAAAATACTAAACTTTATACGTAAAGCAGGATAGATGTTGTATTGATAATGATACGTTTTCTTATGTTGTACTTGTATCCCCCCCCCCCTAAAACATGAAAAGACTTGAAAAGTAAGGGTATGAACTCACCTGTTTGGTTTGGAGAGAGTGGGACTAGAGTCAAGCAGAACTTCAACCGCGGAAAGTTGCATCTTCGAGCTTCTCGGGGATCTCGGTAGCGTAGAACCTTCGTCGGGGGCTCGGGTGTGGAACTGGGGTTTTCGGGATGGCCTCTGGTGCTTACAAGTGTGTGAGAGTGAGTGAGAGTTTGAGAAAAAGTGTCCAAAATCCAGAGTCCATGCTTTCTATTTATAGGGCTGAGGGCGCGAGTACGTTGGGCGTACTACCGGAGTATGTTGGGCGTACGCGTTACGCTGGGCGTAACTTTACGTCATGGCTTACGACTCGGGTCTAGCTAGGCGTAGAGCTTGCAGCCGATGGGACTTGACCCTGCACCTGAGTACGCTGGGCGTACTCTTGAATTACGTTGGGCGTAATCCCAACTTCAATCTTCTAAATTTCGTAACTTTTGCGTACGGGCTCTGTTTTTCGTGTTCTTTATATCCACACGTAGGTGAGACTATGCTCTACAACTTTCATTTAGACTCCGTCAGCTAGTTTTGAATTTATTTTAATACTATGTTTTTAATAGGCCGAGACTGCTAAAGTCCATTAAAAGTTCATAGTTTCTTTATCCGACATCTGTTTTCGTTTGTCTTTTTATCATCTTACTCCTGATGTGGAGATCTTCATCTCTCTTTTAGGTTGTGTTAGCTAAATATCGTTCGATTTTCAATTCAAGTTTTTAGCTCTCTACTACCGTTACGAAACTTTGAAAATTCGTAACTTCTTCATACGAGGTCCAATTTGGGCGATCTTTTTATGCACGTTCACTGTTTAACGTAATCTATGACTTTTGTTTAGATACTTAAGGATAAAATGCATTTTATTGAAATTTCTCATTTTACGTTAAATAATGCCTTACCAGGTGTGTCGTGAATATTTGAGTAGTCGAAATCTTTTCATTATAACTCGGTTTTGAATATTCTTTATGTTTTTGGAAACCTGGGCACGATATCTGTCATTTGATGCATCACAACTTTAGATTTTGATATTTTATTTTTGAGGTTAATTCTGTTGATTCCAAATAGTTTCATTGTATTAGACTCTTGAGTGTTACATTGCTTTGGAAAAATATAGGGTTGTCACATCATCCCCCCCCCCCCCGTTAGAGGGAGTTTCATCCCAAAATTTAATATAAGATAGAGTTTACGGGTTAGGAAAAAGATGTGGGTACTTTTGTTTCATCTGATCCTCACGTTCCCAGGTGTTGTTTGGTTCTTTTAAGATGCGGGTACTTTTGTTTCATCTGATCCAACGGACCTTCACAATAGGTATGCGGCTTTGTTTGGTTCTTTTAATTTCCCGATCCATGATCTCTACTGGTTCTTCTATGAATTGTAGATTCTCATTTATTGCAATTTCGTCCAAAGGGGCGATGAGGGTCTTATCGGATAAGCACTTCTTTAGATTTGACACGTGGAAGGTAGGGTGTATGTTGTGGAGTTCCTGAGGTAATCGAAGTTTGTAAGCCACCGGACTGATCCTGGCAAGGATCTCGAATGGTTTGATGTACCTTGGGTTCAGTTTCCCACGCTTTCCAAAACGTATTAATCCTTTCCAGGGCGAGAATTTTAGTAGGACACGGTCTCCAACCTGGAATTCCAAGGGTTTCAGTCTTTTATCCGCATAACTCTTTTGTCTATCCCTTGATGCCTTCAGTCGATCCCGGATCTGAACAATCTTCTCCGTGGTTTCCCTTATGATTTCTGGCCCAGTGAGAGTGTTTTCTGTTGCTTGTCCTCTTGCTAGCTAAGTGTCACCCACTTCAGCCCAGCACAGAGGTGATCTGCACTTACGGCCGTAGAGGGCTTCGAATGGGGCAGCCTTGATGCTAGTGTGGTGGCTATTGTTGTACGAAAACTCGACTAATGGTAAATGAGTGTCCCATGCCTTGCCAAAATCAATTACGCAAGCTCTCAGCATATCTTCTAGGGTTTGTATGGTTCTCTCACTCTGGTCGTCGGTTTGTGGGTGATACGCAGTACTCATGTCAAGTCTCGTGCCTAGAGATCTTTGTAGCGACTGCCAGAACCTTGAGGTGAATCTACTGACTCGGTCCGAGATAATGGATATTGGCACACCATGCAATCGTACAATCTCCCTGAGGTATGTTCTAGTTAGCTTCTCCAATTTATCCGTCTCTTTGATCGGTAGGAAGTGCGCGGATTTAGTTAACATGTCGATGATCACCCAGATGGTGTCGAGTCCGCTTGTCGTCTTGGGTAATTTGGTTATGAAATCCATGGTTATCCGTTCCCACTTCCATTCGGGTATTTCTGGTTATTGTAACAATCCCGAGGGCTTTTGGTATTCCACCTTGACTTTGGCGCACGACAGACATTTGCTCACATAGGTAGCAATTTCGGTTTTCATGTTCGGCCACCAGTATAGTTTCTTAAGGTCCAAATACATCTTATCGAAGCCGGGATGTATGGAGTATCGCGTCTTATGGGCTTCATTCATGACGATTTCTCTGAATCCACAAAAACTTCGGTGTCCAGATTCGATCCATGAAGTAAAGAACTCCATCTCTCTTGACTTCAAGATTCTTATCCATTCCCCTTAAGGCTTCTCTTGTCACATTTTCGGATTTCAAGGCTTCAATTTGGGCTTCCTTGATTTATGTGGACAGGTGTGAATGGATTTTCATATTTAGAGACTTCACTCGGCGGCCCGAGTATTCCTTTCGGCTGAGTACATCAGCCACTACGTTAGCTTTTCCGGGATGATATCGAATTTCGCATTCGTAATCACTTAGTAGTTCTACCCGCCGTCTTTGTCTCGTGTTAAGTTGTTTCTAGTTGAGGATATGCTGGAGGCTTTTATGATCAGTGAAGATTGTACATTTCGTGCCGTAGAGATAGTGCCTCCATATCTTTAGAGCAAAAATGACTGCTCCTAGCTCAAGATCATGCGTCGTGTAGTTTACTTCGTGCATCTTTAGTTGCCTTGAGGCGTAGGCGATAACCTTTCCTCGTTGCATCAGGACACACCCAAGTCCTTGGTTTGACGCATTACAATAGACCACGAAGTCCTCTGTTCCTTCTGGCAAGGTTAGGATGGGCGCACTACATAAGGCTCGCTTTAGTGTCTGAAACGCGATGTCTTGTTTTTCTCCCCAGTCGAAGGTCACACTCTTCTGAGTTAGGGTGGTAAGTGGCTTGGCAATCTTCAAAAAGTTTTGTATGAACCTTCGGTAATATCCAACGAGTCCAAAAAATTGCCGGATTTCTGTTGGGTTCTTGGAGTCGTCCAACTCTCGATTGCCTTGATCTTGGAAGGATCCACGTGTATCCCCTCTTTGCTTACTACGTGACCTAGGTAATCTACTTCCCGAATCCAAAACTCACATTTTGAAAATTTTGCGTATAGCTTCTCTGCCCTCAATGTTTCCAAAACTTGGCGGGGGTTTTGGTTGTGTTCCTCCTTATTTCTTGAATAGATGAGTATAT